ATATTAAAAAAAAAAAACCCAAAAAAAAAAAAAAAAAAAACCACAACAAAAAACCCCCTCACAATCTATTGTTTTCCTAGTGTGGGTGTTTTTGTTTAGTTTGCCACCCACCCCCAGAAGGTACCCTCCCAACGTTGAGGGCATGTGGTTTGGTATGTTTCAGTAAAGCAAACCTTTCCTGGCCACCCAGGTGGCATGCCTGGAAAATGGTCAGGTTTTAGTTGTAAGGGAAACACCATGCTTTCTTTTCCACATAAAAAAGGGACAGTACGCATTGTTATGTACAACGTTGTGCACCTTGTCATCATGTCAATGGGGATAATGGCTTCATTTCCACATCCAGTTCTCAGAAGGGATGCAGAGGTCTGCGAGGGGGACTTATTGGAATCTGAAAGCTCCCATTAGAAGATGGGAACCCCCATATATTCAGCACCTCCTTTGTGAATGGGTAACCTTTTGTAACTCATTCACAAAAAAGGAAATAGTAAATAAAAGAACCCACACCATAGATAAAAGTACTTAATTATTTGCCCCCCCTCCCATTGTAAATCTAAAAGCAATCAGATCGCCCAGCAATATAGATCCATGCTAATCATGATAAGGGATGCCCAACCACATAGACCCATCTCTGTGACGATGCCCCGCAGCTAATCTTGTTGCAAATTACACATCCTTGGATCTGCTGGACTGTAAACATAGTGCAAAAGGAACCTGACTGACATCATTGAGCATATTTGGTCAATGACGTCACCCAGGATCCCTGTCTGCTTGCTTACAATTTCAAACAGAAGCCAGCGAGGATCTGTAACTTAGGGGTATAGTGATACTGTTTGGGCGGGCAAGCACACTTGCTAAATGTGGCCAGTTTGTTCGCCTAATCACTGAACAGGCTGAGTTCAGGTCAAACTCATATCCAACCAGACCCTCATCCCTACCTCCAAAGCGCCAATTCACTAGCACAGCCCCCTCCCTCATTGCATACACCCTCTCCTCTTCTGGAAAAACCTAGTTACTATCAGTGCCCCATCCCTCAGATCTCTACATAACAAAGCCTATTTTGCTGCTTTTCCTTGACAGCTCAATCAGAAAAAAGCAATGACAACCGGACAGGAGCCACAGATGTTCACCGCTATTCGCATAGATCGTAACATCCAGGAGTTACCCAAGTCTAGGAACAGATGTCCGACCCTCAAAGCAGACAGACTGCGTCTAGGGCCAGTCATCTGTCCCTAACAGCAGGGAACTTCTGTATGTGGATTTCAGGTGAATAGCAGCCCTGGATACGATCTACAGGGCGGCCCCGGATGCAATCTGTCTGCTTCCAGGGTTGGATATGTGCCCCTAGTCGCAGGAAACGGCTGGATATGAGGATACATGCAGATAGCAGTGGACATCTGCGGCACTTCACATTGCTTTGTGTAGGCTGAACCGCCACAGCTGTCTGGAACCCCTGTGATTTCAGCCGCAACAATCTGCTGCCGGATAAAATTAGCCCATGGGAATATGAATGAGGAATCAATATACCATATGCAGGCATTACACATATTAACCACCTTCAGTTATTAGACTTTTTGATAGTACACTTTTTGCTATGCAAGTCCTTACTTTTGTAACAATTGCACAGGCAGAAGGTAAATGGTTGGTAGAATGAACAAAAAGACTATACAAAGCACTTCTAAGTGTGCTGGTCCCCCCTCTGTGAGCTATGGTTCCATCCACAAGCCCCTACATCACTTCTGTACCCTGCAGTGACATAGTTGCCCGTGGGAGGAACCACAGTGTGCAGAAATGGACCAGGCGTCCAACAATCCCAGAAGTCTCAGATGCAGAACAGTCTTCAAGCACCACATGGTTGGCAGAACACATATGCATTCACTGTTTTCATTACACGAGTCCCTATTTTTAAAAGAAGTTGCATCTAGAGACAGATTTTCATTTACACCGAACTCCAGAAAGCTATAAAAGAAAAACGAATTAAGCTCTATATTCATTAACAGTATTGAACTAGGGCTGGACAAATACCAGGAGCCAGGTAGCCAATGTCAAATGTTCAAAAACCAGCACACGCATGTGATCATCCCGTAATAATCTTTATTTCCTCATGGCATAAAAAAAGCTTACAAAAGAACATTAATGCGTTTCAGCCCCTACAACAGGCCTTAGTCATAACTCAGTTACTAAGGCCGCTTGTAGGGGCTGAAACGGGTCAACATTTGAAGTTGATGGGGTCCTTTACAGAGACCTTTACCTGAGCACCATGGTACCAAATACTGGGGTGGTTTGCAAGAACCAAACCTTTCCTGATGTCAATGGGACTTGGCATGCAACACATTATAGCAGGACAATGCCGGATTCACTGGGTGGGTGAATATGTTAATTGAGCATAACCCAGCCAAACAGATAATAGGGGGATGAAGGCAAAATGAACCCCAATAAATGAAGCCCATACCAGAGGAAAACAAAAATGAAAGACCTGATGATCCCAGCACTCTACCCAATGTAATGAGAACGGCTACTGAACAGCCACCTTGACCCTTAACATCACACTGACTCAGTGTTATCAGCCGAGATCACTAAAACCTGCACTTCTCGGCCTACCACACACAGAGTGCAGACCAGCAACCCTCAGACACACCAGCACCCTCACCACCATCTTACCGGCTCATGGCCCCGCCGCTGGAGAACACGCCGGCACGTACTGGTGAGAGGAACGCTCTTCTACGGACATACACTCCCCAGTTTACAGCCTAGACGGCGCTCACCCACAACAAGCTACGCCATTCAAACAGCCTCGCGCTGCATCATGGGCAAGCAGTAACTGATGTCAATCACACGCTTACCATGCATAGTTGTGATTGGTCGGTATCGATGTGGGGGCGGAGTAAGACTTCAATGGAAGATTACGTAAGGGCGCATGATTGAAACGTAGGGCGAGCAGCGCTGGTATGTCAGTGTACGTACATGATGTACTTCCGCAGGACGGAACCATTTTTATCCATTTTGTCCGAACATTGTTGTGCTTGCTGTGAGTTGTGCCACTGTCACACCGTGTTATGTCGTAACCTGTGTACAGGTCACTGCGTAATCACGTTGTAATACCTTGTGTAAGTGATGAGTAATTGTTTTGATCACCTTCCTAAACAATATGAAACGTGAATAGTAGTTTCTTGATTTTCATGAAGGGACGCAGGATTCCATTGTTCCTAATACGATTGGGTTTTGGGTTATACGGCTGTCTGCAACTGAGACCTGTGTCCTTTAAATAAAATCTCCAGGCAAACAAAATACATATCCTTGTATTGAGTCTAGCCCAGCACCACAAGTGCTTGTTTTGTCTAGGACAGGAGTGGGCAAACTCTGGCCCTCAGGCTGTTGTGGAACTACAAATCCCATGACTCCCAAAGACAGATGCATGATGGCATTTGTAGTTTCAGCACAGCTGGAGGGCTGAAGTTTGGCACACTTGATAGGGAGCTCGGATAATGCTGTATTACTCGTCTGAGCCTCCGTCTTCCTGCCTCCCTCAGGGCTGCTATACCGGTCCCTCTGTCCCCTGGGCTCTGGTGGTATAAGGACTTTTGACATCATCATTCAGGTGTAATGAGCTACATTAGACGTGAGGATGCCAAGGGACATTCCATAGCCGGAGAGAGGTGAGCCAGGATCAGTTGAGTAATGCAGCTTTATTTGAGCTCGCTAGACAAAACCAGCACCTAACACTTGGGGGGGGGGGGGGGGGGGGGAGGGAGAATGACCGAAACATACAT